CCAAACAAATCACAGTCCCCCAGTCTTCTCTGGGGCTGTGCATTGAGAAACTGACCAGACTGTTCCCAAACAAATCACAGTCCCCCAGTCTTCTCCAGGGCTGTGCATTGAGAATCCTCTCCCAACTGCTGCCAAAGGCAGCTTTGCCTATCTGGCCAGGGTTCACTTTCACACACGGGTTGTGAACTCCTTGGTGCCAGGGGCTCTGCCTCATTCATCTTTTCTCTATGCCTGACACACTGGCTGGCATGGAGGAAGTGTTCAGGATGAATGAGTGAGTGACTAGATGAATTTGTTTGTAGAATTCCTGAATAGTTGAAATATAGGCAGTGATGGCAAATAGCTGACTAGATATGCGACCTGTGCAGCTAGTCTGGTAGATGTTATGCTTCCTAGACATACTAATAACAGTTACTTCCCTTCTTTCCTTTTGGGCACAGTACCAGTGGTTCTGACAGCTCACTCTCAGATGGTCTCCCTGTTCACCTGCTGAGCATAGCAGATGAGGTAAGACTGTGTCACGCTTGCACCCAGGAATGAAGCAGCCTTAAAAATACCACAGCATCACCAGATAATTTGGTGGGATTTTGCAGAGAACAAACAAGATTATAATTTCCTTCTACAATCAGGAAATACAGCAATAGTATCCTAACTGGTTACCCTGCCCTGAAGGTTTTCATTTCATCCTTTATAACTTGTTTTTTAAAATATTGGGGAAAAAGTAGATGGGGACTCCATATTTATTACACAGTTTTAACTAAAGATAAAAACCATGTTGAAAAATAAAGAGTACTAAAAATGACCCATACTGAAAAAAACAAAGTTATTTACTCATTTAATCTTAGTTTTTTCACTTCTGCATATTAAGTAAGTAATTTGCCCCATCCCTCACAGACATTTTCTTGCCTGGATGCCATAGAGCTTAAGTAAATGCAAAAGACTTCTTACGGTTTGGGGGATAAGGTTAAGGCTATGTCAGGAAGAGCCAGCTGTGCACAGACTGTGCCCTACAATTTCTTCTGCTGGATTCGCAGCAACATCATATAAGCTTCACCACACAGTGGTGCCTAGACAGTCAGTCGGAGCTTCATTTGCTAAAGCCACCTTGTAGTTACAACCAAACTGATTCTTTTAACCACACATCTAATTATCACGATTATCTGGATCTGACATTAAGGCTATAAGTCATCTGATTTCATATTTTCAGTTACTGGTATAGGTGCTCCTTTGGTGGTGTCTCTACAAGAGTGGGGTTTGGGTTGTTATATGGGAAGCAGCCTCTGACGAGGCAACTGAACTGTTTGTTTGTTCTCCAGCGATGATTTGACATCCCGAGAGCCGCATACTAGATTTGCTGTTGTGTCTTGAGTGTTGCGTGAAGAGTGCGTGGGGAGGGGGGCTCTAGACTCCTCAGTGACTGGTTTCTCTGTTCTTTGTGGGACAGTTGAATCAGAAGAAGAAGATGTATAAGAAGAAGAAAAAGAAGGCCCTTCAGTCTAGGAAACAGCGAGATGAGCAATATCAGAAAAATAATTTGATGAGAGAGTTAAAATTAACCGAAGATGTACCAGTAAGAAAGCCTGCTGCCTGCTTCTGTCTGTTTACTCTAAAGCAGAAAGGGAATGGGGCCCGGCAGGAGAAGCTTTCTGTTTTGAGTTCAGAGACCTTCCATGGCATAGCAAGTCTAGGTTTTGACCAAGTCTGAATTTCCAGAAGAAAGAGTTGATACTGAAAAAGTGGTGGCTAGGCGCTCTGGTAGCATAGTGGCTAAGGCACTTGACTGCTAACCAGATGGCTGGTGGTTCAAACACATCAGCCACTCCTCAGAAGGAAGATGGGGCAATCTACTTCCGTAGTGATACTGCCTTGGAAACCCAAGGAGGGGTTGCTATGAGTCGGGTCCGACTTGACAGCACATAACAACGACAACAACAGGCTAGGCTAGAGCGAGTGGTTAAGGAGCTCTAGTGGTACAGTGCCTAAGACATCTGACTGCTAACCAGAAGGTTGGTGGTTCAAACCCACCAGCCACTCTACAGAAGGCAGACTGGACAGTCTACCTCCATAAAGATTTACCTCCTCAGAAACCCAGCGGGAGTCAGAATGGACTCAATGGCAGTGGTTTGGTGGTTGGGTGGCTGAGGAATCAGTCCTGATCTAGGCTGAGGACATGTGGATAGCTCCTTCCATCTTTCTCCTGGCTGCCATACCCACACCACACCCCCTGCTTCCTAAAGAGGAAAAAGGCTTTCAGAGGTGGAAGTTTTGCTATTGGGTAAATTGGGCCAGTTTTGAATGGGTCAGTTGAAAAATAATCTCTTAATACTCATACTTCATATTCTTTCCTTTTAGGAAAGATTAGGATTTGCTCCTACTCTACAAAAGCGCCTTACCTTTCTCAGAAATTCGGAGAATCCTAGTTCTTCAACAGTGAGAAATGACAAACCCAGATTGAATGAGGTAGCATTTTTGCTTTACTCTTTTTCACATACATTGTCTGATTTCTCCAGTTAGCATGTCTCTCTAGCAAGGTGAAGAATGCCCGAGCCATCTGCATCTTCCTTACCTGTCAGTGCCTCTGGCAGCAGAGGCCGCTGGAATTGGTAGGGACACCGGCACTGCAGTGGATTAGATACACCTGAAGTCTGACATCAAATACCATTAGTGATGTGTGGTTTTATGCCAAAAACATAAGAACAGGCTGCTTTACCATCCTTCCATCTACACATCCATCTAGTTATCCCATAAATTTTATTGTTCACCTATTAAGTGCCAGACCCTCTACTGGAATACAGCATTGAACAAAATACTGTTAATTGCCTCATGGATCTTAGAGGCTGGTGGGAATTTTAACAAGTACACAGGAAATTACATCACAGAGTAGGGTGCAGTGAGGGAACACAAAGGAGAGGTACTTAACCAATTTTTGGATTGTTTTAATACTGTGGAGTCTTGTGGCTATAAGATCCTTGATTATTTTACATATAAAAATGTTTTGATACAATAGTATCTGATTATTAGTGGATAGGGCCCTCAAGCTGGGCCGTCATGGTACTGTATGCTGCCCCGTAGTTAACAATGTTATAATGAGGTCCTGCTGCATTATACTGGGAATCCCCAAACAGAACACAACTGTTCTATTTAGTATTGAGGGCTGTTGGCATCTAGTAGCAGTATTGGCAAGAATTCTAGAATTCAAAGTCCAGCCTCACTGTTTAATACTCTCTGAGTTACTTAACCACCTAGGACTCAGTTTCAGCCTCTGAAACGTTGTTAGTGTAGGTTGCCTTCAAGGGCCCTGATCACATATAACAGAAGGAAACAAGTCCCCCATAGTGATGGCTGGTGTGTTTGAACCCACCATCGTGGCTGTCGGGTCAGATCTTGCTGAGGGTTTCCTTCACCTCTGCAGTCCTTCCACTTACCAACATGATGTCCTTTTGTAGCAATTGGTCCCTCCTAATGACGTATCCAAAGTGAGTGAGTCAAAGTCACTGACAGTGTTCTTTAGTCCATATGGCCTCCCTTGGCTGATTTTCAGAAAAATAGGAGTAACATAAATCATGAGATGTTGTGAGGATTTGCTGTATGTAGAGTGCCTGGCATGTGGTAAACCAGTTGCCATTGAGTCTGTTCCAATCCATGGTGACCCCGTGTGTGTCAGCATATAACGATGCGCCACGGAGTTTTCAACGGCTGATTTTTGGAAGAAGACCACCAGGCCTTTCTTCTGAGTTACCTCTGAGTAGAATCAACCTACCAGCCCTTTGGGTAGCAGCCAATTGTGTTAACCATTTGCTCCTTGCAGGGACTCAGGGACATATTGTTCGTTCTTTTTTTGTTTTCATTGGATTGTTAGTTTGCATCCTGCCTCTCTTTTCCTGTCAGAGAATCGTAACGAATCACCCATGAATAAAAATCACAAATAATGTGATCTATAATTACACTGTTCAAACAGGAAATTTAGTGAGAATGTGCTCATTTAATTTTAGACACAGTTAAGTGGAAGAGAAAAATGTACCTCCCTGGATCCATCAAAAATGACCCCCCTAATTCTGATGAAGAATAAAGAGAAAGCACAGGTACTTCATTTGAAATGTGTACATACATGCCAACAATTTTATTTACTTTTCCAGAGCAGTCTGTGATTTGGGGGGCTGGTGACCCACAAAGTCTGCCTTTTTAAATTTGTGCTGCTCAGGCAAACATTCAAGGTAGTTTTCACTTGCAAGCCACAAGCCACCTGACCACCTGGGACCCAGCCCACAAGGCACTGGAGGAAGCCCACCCAGAATTCGCCATTGAGAATTTCATTTACAGATGTTTGTTAGACGGCCATTATTTTGTACCTCCAAAGCAACATTTCAGGTGGATCAGTGATGAACGCCATGGCTCTCAACATGGGAGGTGTTAATACGCAGTGTCACCCTCACTTGTGAGGGCTGCCTCATGCCCAGTGTCACCAGTGCTCATTCTACACTAAGCTTTGTGAATGCTTTGCTTTTTAGAAAGAGTAAGTGGAAATGAATTCATACTTAGCCCTACAGTAACATCATTCTTAGTCATTTGCACTTGCATATTCTTTCCTGAGTGGGAGGAAAAAGGGAGGGTACGCAGGTAGGCTACCATCTGGAAAGCCCTTCCTGCGGGAGTGTGCTGCTTCCGTGGGTCTGCGTGAAGCAGAGGTTGCGAACCACTGGATTAACATAAGGGGACTAGAAATAGAATGGACCATTGTCCCAAGGTGAAGTCCCTGCTGTCTTCCCAGGTCTCTTGCTTGGGACTTCACAGAGTGGTGCTCTCATTTACCCTTTAGCATCTCATTAGCACAGGACTGGGCAAAGCTTCTTTCTCTTATACATGGGGTCACCATGTTATACATGGGGAGCTCACTTGACAGCAGCTAACATCTTAAGGAGAACCTGCTGTGTGTGGGGCCCTGTGAGGACTGTAAAGACATGGTCCCTGGAGGCGGGGCAAGATGGCGGACTAGGCAGAAGGATTGCACAGACCCTCTTCAACAAAGAAAAGGGAAACCAATTAACACAGACACAGAAGATA